TTAATATCTCTAGAGCTTTTGAAAAATTGCACAATATTGATATAGGTCTAAAATTTGATACATCATTCCTACTGCCGTTTTTGTGTATTGGCCATACTTTAGACAACTTCCATAATTCTGGAATTGTGCAGGTGGTAAGACACAAGTTGAATAAAACGGTCAAAGGACACGCCAACACAGAGGCACAGTCACGCAAAATAAAAGCTAGAAGAAAAATCCATGTACATTCTCTTTCACAAGAAAAGTAAAGCAAGTGGCTACTTTGGTCTGGACGTGGGCCACATATGGGGGCACCGTGGATGAATTGGGATGGTATAAGAGTGTCATATAGCGTTACATAGTCCCTGAATCTCGGCTCCTGATCAACATTAACAATGATTACTTTATTAATCACTTCTAGATTAGAACTAGGTTTATTGCTTGCTATAGGTGTAAGTTCAGGCTAGGCTTTTTCTAATATTCATTCATCTTAGGTGATGACATTAACAAGGGTTAGGTGACAGCACAATTCTTGTGAACTCGCCCTTGAGGTTTTGGGATGCTTGTAATTTTTCGGATTGTCCATTATATTATTTTAGTTTGTGGAATTGAGAAATAAAGCTTGACATGCAACTACCCTTCTTCAGTATTTGAATAATCGGAAAAGTATTGGAAAATAGATTTCCTGGCTAGTAAAATTAAAATACAACCAAAATTGTAGGCTTGGTCTCAGGTATTACAAGAAACAAAAGCCGGGCAACTATCCTCTATCCAGTGTTTAAGGTCTATCAAAATAGCAGACAAGATTTGCTTAGGGCGTGCTTCGTGGTTTTCACAAAATCGACTCCATTCTATTACATAGTAATTCAGTACCACCTATAACTTCAGTTAATATAACACAATACATGTAGCTCTATTTACAGGTAAATAATAAAATTAAATATACAGAAAAGAACTCTCGAAATGACAACCAAACATAACGCATCTGCTAACTAACACTTGTGAATATTTGTAAACGCATCCTCCCAGCCCCATCTCTAGTATTCGCTTTCCTCTACTATTGGCAGTTGATATACATATTTGTAGTACTGCCAGCCTAATAACAGTAAACATGAATAATTTGTATTAACACATAGTAGTTGAACCTAATAACATTTATCTTTTAATTCAATTAAAAGAGCCAAAATTGAGTGTAATTGACCAATCTTACGTTTAGTCTGTGGATCTACCGCAATTTCAGCCTCACGAGTTTTCGTTGAACAATTTGATAAGATAGTACTGGGCAGTCCTATGTTTGAACGCACAATGCAGTTCTGATTTAAAATATAATAATTTTCTTGTGCTCTTTCTTTTCCCCGGCAATTTAGTCGACAATCTACACATTGATGCAGTTTTAAAAAGATATCCTTTTCTCTAATATTATCTCTCTCGGTTACGTAACACAGTGTTCTATTCAATAAAGTCATCTGTAATTGATGTCATATCAATCTAAGCATTATAACAGGTTTGATCGACTATTCTGGCGAGGATTGGCCAGTTTATGATCCAGTTTCACTAAAACGCTTTCTAATTGGTCATTGCTGATACGGACCATGAAATATGTTTCTGTGGCTCTTATAAAGAATTTCTTGATTTAATATGGAGATTATTCTTCTTACACGAACCGTATACTGTTTCACTAGTTTGGTAGATATTTTAGAAAAAAACGACTATATTCATTAGGTCCATTACTAGAAAGATGCTTTCTCATTGGTCCATTTTGATCCGGATCAAGAATTTTGATCTCCTATTAGTAAAATCGGGCCTTCGTATAAGTACGTGGCAGGACTAGATGACTCATAGAGTATTTCTCCAGTCCTTTTTACAGCATACTCTTTAAGTAAAAGTCTCTTACCTATTAGCTACTCAAAATAATATTGGATGTAGTCTTTGTTATATTTTATTGTATATGCTACAAATAAACGTTATTATTATCATTTTGGACCTTCTAAAAATCACAGAGAGAGGATGTACGCCAATGGCAAATCTGGGAAGTGCCTAGGTTCGCTAAGACATTACGTTACAGCGAGTGGAAGATAGAGCGGAGCGCGTCCTTTTCGCAAGTATGAGAAAAGCAAATCCCTCTTCTATGGAATAATAAGAACGTTTGTATAAATAATGAATAATCGATAAAGAGGAGCGGCCGCAACTGCGACCGTTCGTTCTCTAAAACGGAACCAGCGGCTGAACGGCACAGCCTTACTCCAGATATCGACTCAACGTACTCCCGAAAACACACTGCATACAACAGCTGACTTTTCATTTGTTCTATAATGGGAAGAAATATTTACATATTATATTTGGGGCCGTTCAGGTATCACGTAGGCAGATTGTTTTACAATTATTAACCCCCCACCTCCTTGTCAGCAAAGGTAGGCAAATATGAGCCCCTTCCCACTTCAGTTGGCCCACTTCAAGATTTGTACCAAAATATGGCTTTATAAACTAAACATGACGAAACTATTTACTTCTAAAACAATTTATTTTCTCAAAAACATTTTAGATACACTATAATCGTAAAAAATACATATTTAAAATCTCTTAGACCTATAACTAATAGCACACTTGAACAAATAATAAACAATGTGCGAATAAATGCGCAAAGTTAACAAAGCAACAATTGAAAGACATTGGGTAACATCACCTTTATTTTTCATAACGGCTGAAATTCTTTGGGGCATAGTGTTAACCAAGTTTTGGCAAAAGCTTGGTGTAAAACAATCCCATATTTCTTGAAGCTTCTGTCTCAGTTCGGTGATTGTACGAGCTGGATGTTGTCGTAGAACCTTTTTCATCTCGTGCCACAACGTTTCAATAGGTGACAGATCTGGACTGCTAGAAACCCATTTCAAAAGTGGTACATTATTTTCTTCCATCCATTTTATAGCCTTTTTTGAGGCATGGCACGCTGCACCATTTTGCTGAAACACAAAATCTTGGCCGGATGTCAAACATTCTTATATCACTGGTAAAAGCGATTCTTCTAAAATTGCCAAATATTTGTTTGTATCCACATTTCCATCAACAAAATGAAGTTTTCCTATTCCTTTTGATAACATACTGCCCCAGACCATAATGGATGCTGGAAGTTACACTTTTCTCTTCAGACAGTCAACATGGAATGCTTTATTTTTTTGCGAATAACTCTACTGCGACTGTCACCAACACAAACTTCGGGCTTCGTCACTCCATTGTATTGCACACCATTGTCGAGGTGTCCATTGTCTATGTTCTTTAGCCCATCTAAGCCGATTTTTCTTTTGCAGTGGAGTTAATAGTGGCTTTTCTTTGGCCTATAAACAAGTTGTGCAACTTTAGGGTTTTTACTTCACTTTTATTTATAAGAAAACTTACCTTGCAAGTGCTAAATTCCAGTTTGTGGGCCTCTCTATGAGTTGTGGACCTCGAAATTCTCCTTCCAACAGCGTCACTCCACAGAGCACTTAATTGTAAATAATTGGCACGCCTGTTTTTCACGATTATTCTTCTTAATGCTCTTCGGTCGGTATTTGTGATATTACTTTTTTTCACATATCGTGGCTTAATATTCACTGAACCAGTTACGTTATATCTTCTAACAATATTTCTCACACTGTACCGCGATAAGGCTAACAAAGTTGCAATTTCTGAGTTTTATTTCCCAGAATTAAAAAATTTAATTACCAGCAGCCGAATTTTCTCACTAATAACCTTTCCTCTACCCACTTTGAAAACCTTAACTACCTAAAACTATTTTAAACGTATTCTGACAGCTGTCATTAATAAAAACAATTGTCATGGCTTTTATTTTTCACAGCCACCTAAGCGTTATAGACTTATTTTGCATTTAAATGAAAATATGTTGATATGCTGTAATTGCAACATGTGCTATTTTTATGCTGCAAATGTGATTAGGGAGAGATAAAGTTGGTGTTTTCTACTATATATTATCAAAATATTCATTGTTAATATTTTAAACCTATAACACCCTGCTACATTTTTATTATTTGTGTTTGATAAGAAAAAAACTGAGATTTCAATAGTTGACCGACTGAAGTGGGAAAGGGCTCGTATATTACCCCCCCCCCCCATGCTTTCGTAATTGTTTTGGTGCATTTTACAATTTGAAACAAGTATTGGCTTTCACGGGCGTGTTTCCAATATAATTCAATGTTTACAAAACCTTCAATACAGCTTTATTTATTGACTTCGTTCACAGTAATTTTCAACACATTCAATACACTTCTGCATCCGCCAAACCAGTCCCTAAACCAGCTCTGACAAGTTTTACCCTAGAGTGCGGCACACTCGTCCCAAGCCCTCAGAAGGTCCTCATCGCTAGAAAACCGTTTTCCTTTTAGCTTCATTTTCACATGCGGAAACAGTGTAACATCGCAGAGAGCAAGATCTCAATAAGTTTCAGTCCAGTAGTGGTCAAATACTCGGTGCAGGCCTTGACGCGGTGAGCTGGAGCGTTGTCATAGTGGAAGTACCAAGTATCCATTCTTGACTTTGGCCGCAGGTTCCGTGTACCACTTATCTGTGACTGTCTTCTGTGTGTCCAAAACGACACGCTCCACAATCGCGATTTGATAAATACAGCTATCATTTTATCCTCAACAGATCAGGATTTTCTGACAGCTGCGAGTGTGTCCTGATCATCAGAGACCCAAAATTTGTTTTGAGCCTTGGTCGGCACATTGTAATACTAGATCCAAGTCTCGTTACCTGTCATGATGCTGATCACATACCGAGATTACCCTTTATCAAACATTTTCAGCATCTTTCGGCACCAAGTTGTACGACGAGTCTTCTGCTCTTCTGTCAGACTATGCTGTACCCAGAGAGACCAAAGTTTCCTTACGTGTAAATGTTCATGCAGAATTGCATGAATTGCTGCTGCATGAAGGGTAAGGCCTCCTCTATATGTATGTCACTATCCGGTCTTCGTCAAGCATTTTCCTCACAGCAGTAATGTTTTCCTCTGTTACTGCGGCCTTTCTTCCCTCTCAGCGTCCCCCAGAGTAAAATTACCCCTTTGGAGTTCTTTGTACCACCTGAATATAGTCGTACGGTGAGGACAATCATTCTTTGATGCAAGCGTCATTTCATCTAAGCACTGGTGTATGCTAAAATCACGCATAGAGCTAGACAGTAAAACTGCCCTTATCTCACTACGTGACCACAATGACATGGTCCGGACTTTACACTGTCAATACGAATGAACAACTAAATCAACAGACGCGCTGCTGGTACCCTTTGTACTTTGCAGTAACAAGATTTCCGGCAAACTGGAAATTGGATCCTTCTAAATGTTCATTAATTGTAGCGCCGCGTTCATCCAAATAAGACTCAAAATGGTGATGAGGCAATATCAAACTAGCCAGTTTCTGCCATTCTGCACTTTACTCTGTTTCTCCCAGGAACATTTATAACTGAGATTCTAAGCCAGTAAGCATATCCATATTTGGGTTTCGCTTTCGAGCGTAGACAAGCAGCATTGCCATAAGTGGTTAAATCAAAATCGACTAGGAAATTCGTAGAAGTAAAAACATAGATATTGCAGACGTAATCACCACCGTGACCCCCCCTCCCCATCCCCCATGTCATCAAAAATATACATAACGACGACCCCCGTCTCCCTTTACTGCTTACCTGATACGTGAATGGTCTCTTTCAACGTGGTGCTTCTATATCAGGTAAAACTTGGGATATCGACTCCTCTACGTATTTTTAAGTAAATGAGAAAGTGACACTTAGAAAGCTTCACAATTTAGAGTATTTTTACAAAATCATTTTTATTTATTTCTTACATTATTTGAAGTGAGATTTCAAAATAAATTGCACAATAAGATGCCAGTATTCTCATTTACAAGTTGAAATAGTTATAATTTCAATATATCGTTTAGGCCCAATTTCACCAACAACAGTCCGTTATTCTCCACCTATAGGGTAACAGACCGTCAGATGCAGCGAATGAGCTTCAAGTTCCGAACAACAAATTTTAGCAACCAATAGCTATGAAATGTTGAAATCAAAATACTGTCAAAGTATGAAATGACAACTTGTCATTGAAACATTAGCAGCTTATTGAATATTAAGAATTACATATAATTCTGTCAAAATTTTAAGAAATGTTTGATTTTTGAATTAAATTCATGTTTTAATTACTATTGTTGATATTTTATTCATGTTTATATTATTTTCTTCAATTGATATGTGATACTGGGTGTTTTTTCCTATAAACCTCTTGCACCTACTTGATGACAGGCTCTACCAAAAGATATTGCTCGTTTCCAAACATTCATTCATTTACTTGCCGTTCATCAGAACCATTATGGCACCTTAGATTGATATTCCCACAAAACCATTCAGGTTTTTTGATATCCATACATCCATAAAGTTGAATATTTTTCGATGTTCAGGAACTGAACAAACATCCACACTATATTCACAGCGATTGAGTAATTCCCAAATATATGCCTTAAAGCTACCAGCAAACCTATAAAAACTGCAAAAAAAACTACAAATTTGCCATATTTTTCTTTTTTCACGAGTACACATTCTAGGTTATATTTATATTAGAAATTATTCGAATACAGCTGATTATTGCATTTCAAGGAGTGACACATTTGTGGGATATGTCAACTCTTGGTACTAGTCACAGAACATATATACTCTGAAGGTTTAATTCCATGCTATCCAATCGCAACACGGAGACTTGTGTGGTTGTCAGCGGCCATTTTGTGAGGGTGCGACAGGGTTGCCAGATTGTGCATTAATATCCCGTTTCACCCTCCTGGTCCCAGTGGAGTAAGTTCCGCCAACTGTTGAAATATACTCTTCTATGCTTTATAAGACTATTCGTGAAATTTTTCCCAAACTCATTGCACAACACTTGAAAAAATGCAAATGAAAATTTAAAATTATTTCCATGACGCCGCAAAATAGCTCCGTCGGTACCTTGGGTTATACATCTTCACAGTAGGGATGTTCGATAGGATCCTATATTTAGCAGTATCAGTACATGTCACGAGTATCGTCATCGTTCGATCCGGACTGTGTCAGAAAGAGTGACTGCCATTTGGCTGCGACATTACCCTGCCAAATCGGACATATCTTTCATCATTTTCAAAGAAATTGTACAAAATCTTCAAATTTGTGAAGTTAGCGAGTTTCACTTCATACGTGCTTACCAGACATGCCCAAAGCATCAGTTGTTGCCGTGATATTCGTCCCGACCACTGCATCCCCACGGCTAGGCGACCTGTATGTTAAATTTGTATTGATAGGGCAGCGGGTTATGCTATAAATCATATATCACAGTGTTTGTGCACTGATTACAACGGTTAGATGATACCAAAAATATTTTCATAAATAGGAGATCTTTCCCATTCCGGGTCGAACAATCTACCAAAGATGGTTATAATCATGATACCTAGTAAATTTTCACGAAAAAAATGCAAAACCAGCAAATGTAAAAGATTCATTTCGCACTCTCCATCACGGGACGTGATCGTCGTTAGACTTGGCAACCCTCTAGTGACAGATAGATATCCCCACCAGTCAACGACCGCCAGTCAAAAACACAAACAATAAACATTACTAGTTTTGATGATTTTTGGACTTAAAAGACATTATTTGTGAAACATTTTTCATAATTTTTTGTCTATGTCCATAGTAATTGCATTATACATCAGGGAGATGTAGGGATTGACACGTCTTACACATACATATTATCTGTGTTTTAGGATGGAGAGGACATAATGTTTTTATTGCTTTGAAGAAATTCATTAACCCATAAATTAATAAATGACGTAAAGGAAGATGAGGAATTGTATTTTATATTCTATTTTCTTGCAAAATACAGACAAATCCACACTATTCAACAGGTGTGTAATGATAACTTTCAGTATATTGAAGTTGGTAAATTCTAGAGTGCCATGCATTAACAAACGTCCAAATCTGCTGCCAAATTTAACAGCTAGAAAATCGACCTATTATTTGCCGCATTCCCATTCGCTGAGGGGGATAACGGTTTGTTAAATGTAAACCTATAACATATATCAAAATACATGAAAGTTGTCCTGTTTTTTCTGTTCAAAAGCATCTTGTTGGAATCAAACAGTGGTCTTGTTTATAATACAGTCGAATTTTCACGATTTTATTCAATAATTCAATAGAAATCACTAATAATCAGAGACCTTTGACAGCTTCTGTCAAATTGCATTTCGATAAAGTATTTTCCCATTGGTCCATAATATTAATGTTGGTGAAATCGACCCTTAGCCTCTTATCCTCAAACATAATTAGATTTTTTTCTTATCGATTCCATACTGGATTCTTAAATAAACGGATACAGTTTGAATTCTGATTCCAAAAATGTATAATTCGTCATACATATTGAAAACTAAACTGAAATAGTAATTTGCGTCATAACATTATCAGCCAAGCGTTTCTGCAGTTTTTATGATCAGGGGATGGGTAAAGACGCCTTATTTGCGATTTTAATGTGATATTGTACATAACATAATATAGATTGTTACTATAAAACTTCAAATATTCAAACAGTAATCTTCCTACAGTTAGGTCTTCATTCATCGAATAAAGAAGAAAATACTTTTTCATATTGTTTAAGATATTAAAGATTTTAAGAAACCGATAAAAACATTTAAGAATAAGCGAACACCTAGACGATGTTGCATATTTCTTATTCGTCATATCCAAATCGAAGCATACATCTCGCATTTAAATAATATTTAATGATAAACGGCTGAGGTGTTATCTACAGAGGCTTCGCGCTAAAATAGCATTTGTTGAAATCGATGAAGGGCAAACTATCTAAATGTCTTTAGGACACGCTTCTCAGAAACTAAAGCAATCTCAATATAATCAAATAAATGCGTGATAATTGGACATTTTGAATATCAACTAGGAAAATATTGGATATACACTTATACAGAGTTGAAAACCCTTCATCTCAATATGGCGTCCATAAGAAATGATTAAATTGTTGTTTGATGACGAGAGTCAAAACGACATATTTAAATTCTAATTATGCGATCTGGCAAAGTTAATGTGCAATTTCGTTTGAAATCCCACCTCAAGTAACGTAAGGATAAAATAAAACCGATTTTGGGAAAATTGCTTTTTTTTTTCATCTATCTCCGGAAATACTCGCACAAATCTGCCTCCATTTAACCGACTTCGCATCTCTTACAGTTTCCGAGATCCCAATGTTGAGAGTCGAATTTGAAACACACAGTATAACAACAGTACATATTGCAAATTGATAATAGTTTCGATTTTGTGTTTATGTAGAAATGTGTTCTTTTTTTCCTTTTGTCGAGCTTTCATCAACACTTGTATTTTTCTGAGCTTTACCGATCAAAGTTGTTCGGAGTAGGATATTTCTTGAGTTCAGGCATGCTGCTTGACTTCCAGCTAGCTCTGATTCTATGATGATGGCCGTCCAATGCGGCAAATGCCTGGAACAGCTCTTGCTCAGCAGGTTTGTTACGAATAATGTCAAAAAAACGACTTGCTGACTAGATAGCTCGTAGTGTGCACATAGTTGCTATGAGCGTTGCGAGTGTCATGCATAACGTCACCTATGAAGGGATGACTCAACGACAAGCTAAACGACCAAGCCACAAGTCGGTTCGCCAGCATGCTTTGATGGTTGCAGAATTTCGAGATAATCTGTACAGTATCTGAGAAGGTGTGACAGAAAGAAAATTGGTTGAATAGCAGAGTAGCAATATATGTAGGATTGTGCGTATTGGTCTGCAAGTGTGTAAAATTGGTGATATATTCTGTGAGAAAATTTTTCCCGGTTTTGTTGCGTTTTCAAAAAATTTGAGAAGTGTCACGCGAAATCACCACCGCGCCCGGGTTATGTATAATTAAGCCACATCATACAAAAATTAGGAATGGCACATCACACACAAAGCATTTTCGCAGTGCCTCACATCTAGGTGCTGATTTGTATTTTCTACTTGGCATCCCAAAATAAATATCTATTAAATTTAAATGTCTGGAAATATAAGATAATGTTAAATGTAATAATATTTTCTCGTTTCATAAATATTCCTATCTGTAGCCCATTTTCTCTCCTGTTAGTTGTAATATACTTCACCAACCACAAGTAAGTGTATTTGAGACAAAAAACCAAGGGAATTATCATCAACACTGATTATTAGCACACAAATCCTCACTATGCACCTTATGCACTGCCGCTTCCTTCCAGTTATAGTATTCAACTTACAGCTTAAACCTCCAATAATACCATCTCCTTGGATGTTACATCACATCAGACACAAACCATGATAACTCAAGCGTCATGACGTTTAGGCAACACGTACTGCTTCACAACGAGTGCACATCAAGTTAACAACAGCTAGTTCCAAGTTTACATGTTGGAACACTACATAATGTCACAAAAAACATATAACGGGTGATTTTTTAGAGGAGATTTGATTTTCAAAACAATACAAAAAATTTGAAAAAACGATTAAATCTCTATTTGAGTCGATAGAACGGTGGATATAATTTAATGTTTAAAGATTACTTCATGTAAATGTTGGCCGCGGCTCCGCTTTAGATGGCCCATGCGCAAGGTTCAATTTTGGCACACCCTCTCCAACATATCGGCCAGTATCGCACGAATAAATGCTTCAATATTGGCTTCCAGTGCGTCAATCGTTGCTGGTTTATCCCTGTAGACATTAGCCTTAATATGGCCCCACAAGAAATAGTCCAACGGCGTTAAATCACACGATGTAGGCGGCCAATTGATGGGCCCCAAACGTGAGATAAACTTTTCACCGAACTCGCCTCTCAATCGGGCCATTGTTTCGTGTGCGGTGTGGCATGTGGCACCTTCTTGTTGAAACTACATGTCAGCCAAGTCCAGTTCTTCCATTTTGGGCAAAAGAGTTTGTTATCATCGCACGGTAGCGCTCGCCATTCACAGTTACGTTCCGGCCATTGTCGTCTTTGAAGAAGTACGGCCCGATGATGCCACCGGCCCATAATCCACACCAAACAGTGATTTTTTCGGGATGCATTGGTAGCTCTTGCAACCAGAAATGAGCTTCGTCGCTGAACACAATTTTTCGATAAAAATGTGGATCTTTCTCCAACTTTGACAGCGGCCAGTCACCAAATAGGAAACGTTGTGGGATGTCGTGTGGCTTCAATTCTTGCACCAGCTGTATCTTATAAGGTTTTACACCCAAATCCTGTCGCAAAGTTTTCCACGTAGTGGAGTAACAGAGGGCCAATTGCTGCGAACGGCGGCGAATCGACATTTCACGTTCATCACTAACACTGGCGGATACAGACGCAATATTTTCTTCAGTCCTCACTCTACGTCTGCGTGTTGGTGGTTTAATGTCCAATAATGTAAACTGGGTTCGAAATTTAGTCACAAGCTTCCGAATAGCTCCCTCAGTAGGCCGACCAAATTGCCCATAAATTGGAAGTAGTGCTCGATGCACTCTCTTAACCGAGCATGAATTTTGATAGTAAAATTCAATAATTTGCAAGCGTTGTTCGTTCGTAAGTCGATTCATGGTTAAATTATAGACCAAACTGAACAAGTTTGACAATGACACAAGACACTATTCACGCGTCATCTGTCAAAAACAGTGTTGCCAAAAAGATACTAGCAAATAAATCACCCATTATATGTCAAAAAACCAAAAGAATGTCACTACCTCCGTCAGCGTAAGGTCTAATGATCCGGTCCGACTTCCAGCGGCTGCAGCACCAGTTCCTCCAATTGGAATTCGATTATGTCGAGGAGCACCTTTTTGTCCCTATAATAATGTACTAATTGCACTCGGCTGTCGTCGCTCATTCGCCCAGTCCTTGCTCGGCTTCTAGAACGAGGAGGTCCACGGTCTTGCCGCAATCAAACTTGCGGTCCACTTGTCTCTTGTACAATTTAGGAAAGCCAATAGTTTCAACTAGTAATGAGGCTTGCCATTATAGAACGTTTGAACCCTGACCTGATCTTTTGTATCTAAATGAATGCGGTTCAGAAATTCCTGCATGAAAGTTGACTCCTTGATTAGTGCTTTGCTTTCACAGAATTGTTCCAAAATATCAAGACTTCAATAATATCTGAAGTCTTAAAATTTATCGAAACGTTTGATGATGATTTTGATCGATAATACAAGGGCGTCCCAAGTTCTAGCTACATATTTTTTTAACCGAATAATCCATACTTTATTGCATAATCGAATCGACCATTTAAAAGAAGAACTTTGATAAGAAACAACAGGGTATTGATTATTAGTTAAGTTATAAACTAATATCTATCTACAAAAGCGCTCATCTTGTCAGTTGTCAGCTCGCCGACCCGCCGGTGTAATTTATATAATCAATTTAATAAAAATCTCTTCTTATCAAGAAAATTGGTTATCTAAAATTGATAACAAAAATAATTGATTAAAATGAAAATTGATTTTTCAACATCGCTACCAAATAGCGATATTTTGAATTATGGTGGATTCATCATTGCTTTACAAAAATGGTGAAAGTACCCAACGTACAACAGCAATGTTGCAGTAAACCCTATTTGAAGAGCATCCATCCAGTGTTCCCAGATGAGTTTTTTGATTATCAGTAGGTGTCGCCTCGAAAAATCAGTAGAATTCAGTATTTTTACGTGTATACATAGGCAACCAGTAAAACTTAGAATAAAATATAGAGATGAGATATTCAATAAAGAATCAAGGTTTTTAAATTATTACAAATATTTTTATTTTATATAAAAACCTCAACTAACAGATCAAAATGTATACAAACTTTAAAAGAACAAAATATTCAAAATAATACATAATATTAATTTTTGCCTTTAGTTATCTGACTCCGAGTCGTCATCTGTGAGCCCTTCCTCACTTTGTTTTTTGTATATTTTGGAATTGTGATATTTTAAAATATCTTCGCCAAAATCCACAGAAAAGCATGTTTGATTGCTAGTTTTTTTAGTGTGCAAGTTACCTACTATTGATACACTCGAAAGGCGATTTCGATGAGTAGTTTTCATGAGATTAACTTGTGAAAATGTGCGTTCCACATTCGCAGATGAATGTGGTAAGGACAGCATATTAAATGCAAAAGTTGAAAGTAGAGGAAACATAAAGGAGTCATCTCCATATTGAATTTTGCTAATTTTTGCCCAAAATTCTTCTGCATTTATATTGCTAGGAAAATCTTTTAAAATTTCATTACTTCTTAGCAAGCGCCATTAATTGTCTATCGGTTGAATTTGATTTTCATTAACTAAATTAGGAAAATGTTTTGCCAAGGGAATGACACTAGGTGGTTTTTCATTAATTATTGTTGCAGGGTCAATTAATTTCATATTAATTAACACCTCATTGTTAAAATCAAATCTCTTGCATATCTGGTGGGCACTTTCTACAAAAAACTCTAAACAGCTTTTCCTTAAAGTTAAATTAGAATCTCTATCTAACATTAGTAGAGGCAAAACCGATTAAATTATTTCGCCAGGGAATCCCATTGTTATCGAAAAAACGGACTATTTTTTGCTGTAGCTCCTTGGAGGGGTATCAAGGCCAGAAAACTGTCAGTAACTCTAAAAAACAAAAACATTATCAGAAAGTATATTTTTTATATTTTCTTGTTATATCTGTTTGAAAAGGGCGATCCCTTTATAGTTAAATTGACTAACTTTCATATGAAATTAAACACAATTAGAACTGATATAATTTTCGTTACACTTACTTGTCAACTTGGCGATATCTACTTATTAAACATAAATGCTTTGTGCAGCCTCTATCCGTAGATTCGTCAACAATTAACGAAAATTTCGTGCTTTTTTAAAAATAGCACACAAGTTATCTAATTGTCTTTTTCCAATTACTTTGTTTACTATGGCGGAACATTTTGTTGGTTTACATTTAATATTTCTTGCTACTTCTGAATCGGGGCATATTTTGGGAAGAAGTTGTACGAAATGGTTCATTATATTGTAGGATAAATTATGTTCCGAGACAAAAGCTGCTATGTGCATTTCAGATTTTTTTGTCGTTTTCTCCAAATTGCTAAACTTTTTAAAAGATGCTAATGTTTGCTGGCCTTTTACAGATTTCAAACTTGTTCTGTGTCTTTCGCTGGCAATATGCCTTACTTGGGCCTGCTTTCCCATTGTTTTGACTGATATATTTTTCTTGCAAGCTTTACAGTAGGCACTATTTTCTTCCCATTGCTCTAACCAGCCTTTGAAATCGGGATCATTTAGCCACGTTTTATTAAACTTTTGCGAATATTTAATTTTCTTGCTTCCCGAGGGAATTTCGCTTCCAGAATCATCAGATTCTGAATCATGTTCTCTCCTAAAATGAAATTACTTCTTTTGTTTTCAACCTATAATAATAAATAAAGTAACTTACCTCATTTTATTTGAATTTCACCTCAATAAACTTCACCAAACATCAATAATTAATCAAAATTTCTTTCTCTCACTTAATATTTGGGTTTTGGGTACTACAATCGAAACTCTTTGAAATCGGGGAATCACCATAAATCTATGGGAATCACCATATCACCAAGTTTACACAGAAAACAGCGGACAGCTGACTAAAGTGCCATCTGTTTGAGGATAATGCAACTCTGCAACACCTGTAGGCTGTAGGGGCCCGCAACGGCGATTTGAGTAACTTTAGAAAATAAGCGCTAGATGGCGGTGGGAAATACGATACGATCTAGTATTTAATTCAATCTTGCTTTACAGAACCAGTTTTGCACAAAAGCACTTGCTATTGTGACTTGTTTTTTTAATTTTTACTAAAGTTTTTTTTATACTTTACTTGACTTGATTTTTTCAGTAGATTTAAGAATGAAATCAGTAGATCAGTAGACGGAACCCTAAATCAGTAGATCTACTGATTTTTCAGTAGATCTGGGAACACTGCATCCATCACGTTTTGACGTCTACTGAGGTAAGGTAAGTTGGGGTAAGATCGCAAGAAATTTAGGGTAGTTAAAATTTACATGACCGTACTGCAGGGTGCGTCATCTATTACTTTTTCTTCTATTTGAAAGATCAATACACTTTTTACGAGGTGAAATCGAAATTTTTTATTGATAAATGAAGGTTGGTTTCTGCCATTTTTGAATGAAAAATAACATCAGTCATGTGACCACCGCGGCTTCGTTTGCAGGCCAACATTTGACAACAAAATTTCCCAGAATAATCGGGTCTATGACCGCAATTTCAGTCCGAATATTGCGCTTTAGGTCTTTAATTGTCCGGGAAACAATCACATACACTTTTCCTTTAAAAAATCCCCAAAGAAAATAGTCAAGAGGTGTTAAATCGCACGATCTCGGGGGCCAACTGACATCTGAATTTCGTGAAATTATGCGGTCTTGAAATTTCGTGTGCAATAAGGCGATTGTTTGGCGAGATGTGTGAGCCGTTGCTCGATCTTGATGAAACCAAAGATCGTCGGCACCAATACGATCCAATTGTGGCCACAAAAAGTCTATCATCATGCCGCGATAACGTTCCCTTTGACGGTAATGGCCTTTTCTTCGGCATCTTCAAAGAAGAATGGTCCAACGATGCCACCAGCCGATAACCCTCACCAAACAGTCACTTTTTCAGGATGGAGAGATTGTTCATGATATTGGTGTGGATTTCAGCCCCTCAGAATCTGCAGTTTTGCTTATTTACGTCCCCATTGTGGTGAAAATGAGCCTCATCAGAAAATTGGCCGAAAATCCGTCTTCTCTGTCCAGCATCCAATTAACAAAAACACGGCGCTGTTGATGATCTGCCGGCTTCAGTTCTTGTGTTAGTTGGATTTTGTATGGATGGAGGTGTAAATCAATGTGTAAAATCCGGCGTAAAGTGGTCTCACTAATTCCCAATTGTTGCGAACGGTTGCCTAGTCGAGGTGGTTGGATCTTCTAGCATACTTTCACTCACTGCGGCTATCTTTTCACGAGTACGAGCTGGATGAGCATGTTGGTATGGTCTAAGACCTTCAGCTGAACCAGTTTCCTCGAAACGATTAACAATCCAACAAATTCCAGGCTCTGTAGGGCGTCCATGTCGGCCAAAACCAGTGCGAAGTTTGCGAAAAGAATTTTTTTATATTTCGACCGTTTTCGTAATAAGTTTGGATAACCAAAATGCGTTGTTGTGTTGTAAACGAATCCATGACTATAAATGGCATACCTTTGACATTTTATTTATGCATACCACATGACTTTTGACTCACATGGTAACACATAAACTTATAAGTAAAAAAAAAGTAATAGATGGCGCACCCAGGATAATAAAATGAATTTAAAGATTTGTCATAGTGTACAGGATTTAACTTCAATATATAAGCAAAGAGTTTGCTGGACAAATTTATTAATAGGAAAGTTTCGAAAAAAATAGAAATAAAAAAATACAGTCGATCGAATCTTCCCCGCGTAAGGGGATAAGGTCGGACAACTTGTAAAATTATGATATAATTCTTTGATGCACGCCTACGGGGTAAGGCCGAATTCCAAACAAGCCCCTGGTAAATTTCATACTGTTTAAACCATAAATTTACGTGTGTCTAATTGTGTATGAATTCGATCTTACCCCGTATATAAATTAATTTACTTATGAAACTAAAACAGAGTACCAAATCTTTATTTTACAGGATCCCGTAACATTTCCCTTCTGGAGAAACCAAATCCCCATTTCTCAAGAGTTTTAATACCATTTGCCAAAATATCTTCATGTTGTAAAAAAATTGCCAAGTTCCTTCCAAACTTTTTGACCCATGGGTTCCTGTGGCATGGTCATGCTTTGTCAATTTTGGAATATTATATTTTTTTGCTGCTCCGAGAAATGTTATTAATCCTATTTCCAATTGACTAATGGCACTCGCAAGATCTTCCTTGGTATACTTGCTGCCTCTATCGGATCTTACATACTTTTGGTCCATCTTCAAACCTGTAACAAAAACTAGTTCGGTAATGTCATCGGTTATCGGTTATTCGACTTTGCCCCTTACATCTAGCCTGAAGAAAGATCGAACTAACTCATAATAACAAACCCAGTTGAGGTTATGATTTACTAATCCAAAGAGTTCATAAAGTACATTCACAGCAAATATTACCTATATAATGTTAATAACTTGCCCTTTGAAGCAATGTTCGACAAATGGGGTAAGTTCGAATACACAAAATAAACTAGAAAAATACAAAACTGTATATATTTAACACGAAAAACCTTGAAACAAAACTCGGTTTGTTTAAGAAATGCGCGCCTTTGCACGAGGCAAGAATTTACAGCGCTGTTGCCACAAGTACGAGCCCCTTCCCACTTCATTTGGCCCAACTATTGAAATCTTAGTTTTTTTCTTATCATACACAAATAATAAAAATGTAGCAGGGTGTTATAGGATTAAAATATTAACAATGAATGTTTTGATAACTTTGTCACTCCCTAATCAAATTTGCAGCATAAAAATAACACGTGTTGCAATTACAGCATATCAACCTATTTTCATTTCAATGCAAAATAAGTCTATAACGCATAGGTGGCTGTGAAAAATAAAAACCATGACAATTGTTTTTAATAATCACAGCTGTCAGAATATGTTTAAAATAGTTTTGGGTAGTTAAGGTTTTCAACATGGGTAGAGGAAAGGTTATTAGTGAGAAAATTCGGTTACTGATAATTAAATTTTTTAATTCTGTGAAATCAAACTCAGAAATTGCAAGTTTGTAAGACTTATCGCGGTACAGTGTGAGAAATATTGTTAGAAGGTATAACGTAACTGGTTCAGTTAATATTAAGCCACGATATGTGAAAAAAAAATATCACAAATGCCGACCGAAGAGCATTAAGAAGAATAATCGTGAAAAACAGGCTGCCAATTATTTACAATTAAGTGCTCTGTGTAGTGACGCTGTTGGAAGGAGAATTTAGAGGTCCACAACTCATAGAGTGGTCCACAAACTGGGATTTAGCACTTGCAAGGTAAGTTTTCTTATAAAAAAAAAGTGAAGTAAAAACCCTAAAGTTGCACAACTTGTTTATAGGCCAAAGAAAAGCCACTATTAACTCCACTGCAAAAGAAAAATAGACTTAGATGGGCTAAAGAACATAGACAATGGACACCTCAACAATGGTGTGCAATACAATTTAGTGATGAAGTCCGATTCGAAGTTTGTGTTGGTGACAGTCGCAGTAGAGTTATTCGCAAAAAAAATTAAGCATTCCATGTTGACTGTCTGAAGAGAAAAGTGAAATTTCCAGCATCCATTATGGTCTGGGCAGTGTGTCATCAAAAGGAGTAGGAAAACTTCATTTTATTGATGGAAATGTGGATACAAACAAATATTTGGCAATTTTAGAGCAATCGCTTTTACCAGTGATGGAAGAAGGTTTGACATGCGGCCAAGATTTTGTGTTTCAGCAAGATGGTGCAGCGTGCCAAACCTCAAAAATGCTATAAAATGGATGGAAGAAAATAATGTACCACTTTTGAAATGGGTTTCTAGCAGTCCAGATCTGTCACCTATTGAAACTTTGTGGCACGAGATGAAAAAGGTTCTACGGCAACATCCTGCTCGTACAATCACCGAACTGAGACAACAGCTTCAAGAAATTAGGGATTGTTTTACACCAAATATTTGCCAAAACTTGGTTAACACTATGCCCCAAAGAATTTCAGTCGTAATAAAAAATAAAGGTGATGTTACCCAATGGTAATCTCAAATGTTGCTTTGTTAACTTCGTGCATTTATTCGCACATTGTTTATTTGCTCAGATGTTCTATTAGTTATAGGTCTAAGTGATTTCAAATATGTATTTTAGAGTTTATCTTAAATGTTTTTGAGAAAATAAATTGTTTTAGAAGTAAATCGTTTCGTCATGTTTAGTTTATAAAGGCATATTTTGGTACAAATCTTGAAGTGGGCCAACTGAAGTGGGAAGGGGCTCGTATATTAATTCTGGATTCTGCGTTCGGACTTGCCCCATATCCTATCTTACTCCAACTTATCTTAAATAGCTAATCTGCAAGTGATACCTTTGTATTAGTCTGTAAAGTTGGCAATAATGAATTAGCTGTATATCTGGTAATACTTCAGGACTATATTCAGAGTTGTTGTTCACATATCTAGATACTTTTAGAGATGAGAAGAGAAGAATTTTTACAATAAAATATACGAAGTATAGATATAAAAATGTTTATTAGAAAATTATTATGGTACATCTGGGATTTATTGATTGCGAGGTAATTCAATATAATAGACTGTTTTCTCCTTTTAAATAGCTGTATTTTTACATGTAAAATAATATAGACACGTGTTTCTGGTTAATCGTCCTTCATCAGTGTAATGTAATTCAGATATGACCATTTCCCTTTATGATGTTTCAAGTTCCAAAAAGTAGAGAGG